CGCGTGTCCGTAGAGATAGGTATACAAGAAATGTCCGTAAACCTAGTGCTAAGCATATGGCCATGCGAGATTTTACTTCCCCACCACACGTAGATACTTTCACGCATATAAATTCTCTCTCCCACCACGTTGCATTCATAACGTTCATTTATAAGTTAATAGTGTATAATTACGTTGTTTTTAAATAAAATAAGTTGTTTTTTTTTTTAAGGAAAATATGCGATTTCGTTCACGCGTCATTTTGACGCGTGTCCGTAGAGATAGGTATACAAGAAATGTCCGTAAACCTAGTGTTAACTACTTTTTCGATTTAGCCCAGATGAAAGGTGCATTCCATTTCGCTTCTTCCTCGATTCTGTACACAGAATTATATTATTCCAACCGGTCTATTATAAATCTTAAGACTTGACAATAGCTTTGCTGCAGATGACACTTCGGTAATTAGGATCGTCCACTCGACTCAGATCATACTATAGTACAGTGTTTCGTAATTGTCGCTGTTCAAGAGACTAATTCGAACTTCCGTTAATTACAGCGTAACCAGATCTCCGTCACACTTTCGTGTCCTGTTCGTAAGATAAGCAAAAAAGAAAAGAAAAAAAACTGCCACGTCCATTAATTATTATCAAAGTTGCGAGGCCTGTCCCGGCTAGTTTCTCCCCTAAAGTATATTATAACCGCGCTCGTAGTTAGGGTCGAGATTAATGAAACTACGTATCGTGGTCGAGGAAGTCATTTGCGTCGCTCGCAGTCCCGGGAAATATTCGAACCGTTAAAGGTTGCGACCGAGATTAGCCAACATCTGCGGTCAAGCTCGCACTCGCCAAGCGGAATTGGCGGTGCATATACTCGGTAAGATTTTCAATGGAGCGGCTAGAATTCGTGGCATGTACATGTATACATGCAAGTATTCTCGTGTACCGTTCGCGAGTGAAATTAGCGCGAGTTTTAAGTCCCGTCGTGTTCAGTCGCAGGTGAAAATTTCAGCCATTCGCGATGGTATTGCCGGCGTTTAAAATCTTCGTTGTCGTCGCTAATAAAATTCTAGCGTCGTTTCACCCTACGCGCCGGGCACTGATTGCGCTAATTGCACTGCAAGGATTTAGGTGTCGTTATTATTCATTTTTGCCTGCAGACTACAAAATCGGGTTTGGCCTTACGAAATAAGATTTTCCATAGTTAGATGTTTATACTTTTGGCTCATCCAACTGTAATTTATATACCACTTATACCTAACCTATCTTTGGCCAAGATTTGTACTTTATTTATCCCACCTGTCTTACACCTTCTCTCTTCCCTCCTAACAATATTCTTAACTGGTCTGTTTCACTATCTGTCCCTTCCCCTAGCTTTTATAATCGCATGTTTCCAACATCCATCGCCCTACAATCTTCTAACAACGCTTTGAATTCCCCAAACCACGAAGGATTTCACGACCAATAGTCGTATTGATAATTCAGTTCAATTCACGCAATCTATAATACACTGTTTAAATGACAATTTCTCCATACGATGCCAGCATCTACTTGTAGAATTCTATACAGCGATAGCAGCATTATACGAGTCCCCTAATTGTTTTGAACAGTCGATAAAGGTGGGTGGAGCGAAGTGACGAGGGAAACAGGTCGACAAAAGGGCAGCCACTTATTGACCCTGACCAGCCAATAGCCTCATGTTGCTGATGTAACCAGTACACTTGCATATACACTTCTCGAACTTAACCTAAAAACTCGTAGACTTCTAAAATCTTCTTCGACGATTTTTTACACTTCTTCTTCACGGCTCGAACGCTTCTCCTGCTCTAGATACGTTGAATTTCTGGAGCTGGATGGCGATAGCGCGCTCGAAACACAGATTAAAGGCCCCATTTGTCGAATTCGTAGCTTTTCCCTCTTACACCTCCGCCACCTTTATATCTCCTTTGCTTGAGAACACGCCCCGCGAAACGCGTTTTCAACGAGGCAAAACCGCTCTCTTTTGCCGTCTAGCTTAGCCGTCGGCCTGGGGCTTCCAGCTGGAAAATTTTTATCGCGATGCACCGCGTCCCTTGGGCACTTTTCGTTAGCCGCAGAGCCTCTTTTGCTCCTGCCGCAAATGGAACTCTCGTCGCGTCGCTCTGAACTCTCCCGGTCGACCGAACGAGTTTCTCCGTTTCGAAGACCATTCTCCGCTCGAAAGATACAAGCCACGATCTGTCAATCAATCCTCTATTTTGCCGCACTTAGACGTAAAACCCTCTTTTTTTTTTTTTTAACGAACATCTTTTCTTTTTCAACAATTGTTGGGGAGTGTTGAAGAGTAAAAGTGAATTTTTAATTCGACGAATATATACACCTAACGATCCGAGCATCATCAGAAAGCAAACTCGGCTTCCGTTAGGGGAAAAAGTGGCGTAGGACCTCCTAGGTTTCGGAAGTTACTGATATTTATGCCAAATTAACATTCAGTTTAACATTTATTTCAGTACCGAAAACCGAAATAAATGCCAGTATTTTTTCGGTTTCCATAAGGGTAGGGCTTATATACGGTTATATAGGGGAAAGGTAGAACCGAAAATACCGGTATTTTACGTTTCTACCTTTGCCCTATATAACCCTATATTAATCCCTACCCTTATAGAAACCAAAAAAATACCGGTATTTTTTTGGTTTCTATAAGGGTAGGGATTAATATAGGGTTATATAGGGGAAAGGTAGAACCGAAAATACCGGTATTTTTTTGGTTTCTATAAGGGTAGGGATTAATATAGGGTTATATAGGGGAAAGGTAGAACCGAAAATACCGGTATTTTCGTTTCTACCTTTGCCCTATATAACCCTATATTAATCCCTACCCTTATAGAAACCAAAAAAATACCGGTATTTGTTTCAGTTTTCGGTAATATATCGGTTTCGATATATCTTTGATGGCATAATACCGGTATCAAAATTATACCGGTTTAAGTCCCTGCCTTCAACTAGGGTTATATAGGGGAAAGGTAGAACCGAAAATACCGGTATTTTACGTTTCGGAAGAAGTCCCTGGAAGTACTGAAATAAATATTGTTCGAAATTTACCAAGTGGTATGGGATCCTTCAACCAGGGACTTCTTCCGAAACGTAAAATACCGGTATTTTCGTTTCTACCTTTGCCCTATATAACCCTATATTAATCCCTACCCTTATAGAAACCAAAAAAATACCGGTATTTGTTTCAGTTTTCGGTAATATATCGGTTTCGATATATCTTTAATGGCATAATACCGGTATCAAAATTATACCGGTTTAAGTCCCTGCCTTCAACTAGGGTTATATAGGGGAAAGGTAGAACCGAAAATACCGGTATTTTACGTTTCGGAAGAAGTCCCTGGAAGTACTGAAATAAATATTGTTCCAAATTTACCAAGTGGTATGGGATCCTTCAACCAGGGACTTCTTCCGAAACATAAAATACCGGTATTTTCGATTCTACCTTTGCCCTATATCACCCTATCCTACCCTTATAGAAACCGAAAAAATACCGGTATTTATTTCAGTTTTCGGTAATTGGTTATATAGGGGAAAGGTAGAACCGAAAATACCGGTATTTTACGTTTCGGAAGAAGTCCCTGGAAGTACTGAAATAAATATTGTTCGAAATTTACCAAGTGGTATGGGATCCTTCAACCAGGGACTTCTTCCGAAACGTAAAATACCGGTATTTTCGTTTCTACCTTTGCCCTATATAACCCTATATTAATCCCTACCCTTATAGAAACCAAAAAAATACCGGTATTTGTTTCAGTTTTCGGTAATATATATCGGTTTCGATATATCTTTGATGGCATAATACCGGTATCAAAATTATACCGGTTTAAGTCCCTGCCTTCAACTAGGGTTATATAGGGGAAAGGTAGAACCGAAAATACCGGTATTTTACGTTTCGGAAGAAGTCCCTGGATGTACTGAAATAAATATTGTTCGAAATTTACCAAGTGGTATGGGATCCTTCAACCAGGGACTTCTTCCGAAACGTAAAATACCGGTATTTTCGATTCTACCTTTGCCCTATATAACCCTATATTAATCCCTACCCTTATAGAAACCGAAAAAATACCGGTATTTGTTTCAGTTTTCGGTAATATATCGGTTTCGATATATTTTTGATGGCATAATACCGGTATCAAAATTATACCGGTTTAAGTCCCTGCCTTCAACTAGGGTTATATAGGGGAAAGGTAGAACCGAAAATACCGGTATTTTACGTTTCGGAAGAAGTCCCTGGAAGTACTGAAATAAATATTGTTCCAAATTTACCAAGTGGTATGGGATCCTTCAACCAGGGACTTCTTCCGAAACATAAAATACCGGTATTTTCGATTCTACCTTTGCCCTATATCACCCTATCCTACCCTTATAGAAACCGAAAAAATACCGGTATTTATTTCAGTTTTCGGTAATATATCGGTTTCGATACATGGACCGTTTATTTTGAAAGTGGTGCAAGTCCATTTTCCAATTCCATTTCATTTTATTTTAGTTTACACTAAATTAAGCATAAATTACGTCATATCTCATTTTTTTTTTAAAAAAGGACTTACACCACTTTCAAAATAAACGGTCAATGACGTAATTTATGCTTAATTTAGTGTAAACTAAAATAAAATGAAATGGAATTGGAAAATGGACTTGCACCACTTTCAAAATAAACGGTCCATATCTTTGATGGCATAATACCGGTATCAAAATCATACCGGTTTAAGTCCCTGCCTTCAACTACGCTACTTTTTCCCCTAACGGAGTTTGCATGTCCGTGAACATACCTTTCCGCGCGGTCGAAACCGTCTTATTTGAAGACGTCCTTAAAAGAGAATCGGTACGATCCGATTGTTCCAAGAGCTCGAACATCGGTAGTTTTCGATCGATCGCGTCACCACGCCAGGCAATAATCCGCTTTGTCGCTTCACCACCATTCCGGTAGAGCAGCGCGCGCGCTTTCGTGCCGGGGCGAAGACTAAACGAGCGATTTCCCGCTGTTCGTAGAAAAGCCCGACGAAAGGAGAAGGATGCGGGGACCACAGAGGATCCGAAATTGTACCTCGAGGAGGCGGCCCTCGAAAGGCAACTGCCCGAGCTGGACCTGAGGATGTTGGTCGACCTGCCGCCCGGCTTGGACTACAACGAGTGGCTGGCCTCTCATACCCTCGCACTATTCGATCACATCAACCTCGTTTACGGAACGATATCAGAGTTCTGTACCATGACGGGCTGTCCCGACATGACCGGTCCCGGTTTAAGGTACGTCGTCGCGTACGAAAAACATTGTTCCTGGGCAGTGGCGGACTGGAACAAGGGTGTCAGCTTGCGTGATGGCGATTAGGGCCCCTTAACCCCTTACCTTACGATTTTTTTGACGACCGTAATTTCAAGCATTACATTATCGTTAATAATTTCCCAGATACTAAAGGAATTTTATTCTTAGGACAAGTGTATCATCTACTTTAAATTTTAAATATTAATACTAATGAAACAGAATTTTACTTCGACTCAAAGAATATTATACACGTTTATTAAATCCAGTTTGAAATCGTCGTCACGTGTCTGACATGTTATTAGGCAAAGGGTTAACACTAGAACTGACAAACAAGTCAAAATGACTTGTCAGTACACTCCTGTAACGACGATTAAAATGTTATACCAATACATTTTCTAAGATCTTTGGAACTTTTATTACGATATGAAAGTGAAGAAATTAGTTTATTTATAAGTTTGTAAATTTTCAACAGTTTGCCATGTTTAGCGATCGATCAAATTAGACATGTTTTTATTGTTGGTAGTTCGAGTGTGAAACATTCGACAATATGTTGGAAATGGTAATTTTAGTTGCATACAGTAAGAATATGGAACTTCTATTTCATTTTGAAATTATTAACACTAGAACTACCGACGATAAACGCATGTTTGCTTCGATCGGTGGATAAACGTGGAAAACTTTTGAAAATTTAGAAATTTAGAAATTAACTAATTTCTTCACTTTTATATCGTAATAAAAGGTGCACAAGATCTGAGAAAATGTATTGTCATGACATTTTAATCGTCGTTGTAAGAGTGTAATGACATGTCATTTTGACTTGCTTGGTAGTTCTAGTGTTAAGGGTTATTACTAGACTGCGGATTTTATGCATTTATAGTTCATAGTAAATTTTCTATTTTTGTCTGAACCCAGTAAAGTACTTAATAGTTTCAAAATGAAATAGAAGTTCCATATTCTTACTGTATGCAACTAAAATTTACGCTTTATTACTATTTTATAGAAAAAATATAATATTAAAATTGTAAGTGGGCCCCCTTTGTCTCCTGGCAACCAGTATTTTTAGGCCCAGTCCGCCACTGGTTTTGTGTTCCCCTATAACCCTTTGCGGACGTAGCTAAACGAAGCTGAACGTCTTACTGACAAGGAGTGTATGTTAGGTGTCCGCCTCCGATTGCTTTGGTTTTCGGATATGTTTTAGAGGACCGAAAAATAAGAGATACGTATTTTTTTATAGCGGCCCGTTTTCATATTTAGGGGGTGAAACCACCCCTCAAAGTTTCGACTCGGAAGTACTATCTCGAAAACCAGTGGAGATACAGGAAAACTTTCAATTGGTGGTTTTCATGGTTTTTTATGTACAATAAACTGGTGTTAAAAAATTGTCAAAAATACAATTTGTTTATAACAAAAAAATTTGTTATAACTTTATTTTACAACTTATTGAAATTTGCGTAATGACATAAAATGACGAGCACTTAATTCCAAATCCATTGGTATATTTATTTCTGAAATTGCCTCCTTAGTCTCGCAGTTTTTTTATTATTTATATCCTGTGCGCACGCCCGCTCTTTAAGCTTCCGATTGCCTCGGTTTTCGGAGAATATATTAATAAAAATTAAATAATGGTCAATTTATAAAAGTCAATTTCGATTTCTCAAAAAATTTGATATAATTTTTATGAATCTTTTTGTTTGCAAAAGCAACTTTTATTTGCGAACGTGATGTCTTGTGTCATTCGTATTTGTTGTTTTTTCAACGAACGTATGCAGCGGCACAAGAATAACTCTGGTGACGTTATTTTTCTGAAAAACATGTTTCGCAGACTTTCAAAAATAAATATACCAATGGATTTGGAATTAAGTGCTCGTTATTTTATGTCATTACGCAAATTTCAATAAGTTGTAAAATAAAGTTATAACAAATTTTTTTGTTATAAACAAATTGTATTTTTGACAATTTGTTAACACCAGTTTATTGTACATAAAAAACCATGAAAACCACCAATTGAAAGTTTTCATGTATCTCCTCTGGTTTTCGAGATAGTACTTCCGGGTCGAAACTTTGAGGGGTGGTTTCACCCCCTAAATATGAAAACGGGCCGCTATAAAAAAATACGTACCTCTTATTTTTCGGTCCTCTAAAACATATCCGAAAACCAAAGCAATCGGAGGCGGACACCTAACATACACTCCTTGTGAGTCTGGTCCGCTACCACGGTAGCGATAGAAGTGCATTCATTGAATTTATGAAAAAGTATTCGTAATTTTTGTATTTCTGCCGAAAGTGAGAAGCTAAGAAACTCGACATGGAGACATAAGATCATAGGGGAGAGGCATGCCAAGTCCATTTCTGTTATTTTTTGATTTCGTATTGGTGTCTGATTCTTATTTTGTGAAAGAAGAACAAACTTGTCTAGTTTAAGGATATAAGCCTTTTAAAAATAAATGTACAAAGAAGTAACATGACAAATCCAAGTGAAACAAGAGTTATCGTGCTTCTTACCTGTGGTCTTCGTATATGAACATATAAACAATGTGTATACGCAAATGCAGTAGCTGCAATGAACACATATATATATATATATATATAAACTCATCGTCCACAAAGGGTTAGCAAGTTTTGGCCGAGTCTACTGTACCTCCATTAGTCCACGAAAAGTGAGAAGGAGCAAGAAAGAATGGACTTGAAACGATTAAAGACCATTCTTCGAACGACTTTCTCCTCTCTTGCTTTCAGTCTTTTTACCTTGTTACTTCCTTTTGACCGACATTACCCGGTCGAGTAAATTCGCCTTTTTCTGCCCGTTTCAGAACGTATCTGTGGTTCGACGAGAAGGGGAAGAAGACGAGAGTGGCAGCGCCACAATATATAGATTACGTTATGACTTTTACACAACGCACCGTTAGCGACGAAACTATATTTCCTACGAAATATGGTAAGTGGGAGTTCAGGGAATCGAATTCGTCGATAACAGAGGATGAAACGGGGATAGCGTAGTTTCGCTGGGTACGAAACGTGTTGCGGATGTGGGGGGTTCGAGGCAGAGAACCGGTGGTTTTCGTTCACTTAGACGCTTTGCACGGTGGCAAGGTCTTGTTATTGATCGGAATGATATTTTAACAAGGCAAAACACGGGCCGAATGAGTTACAGAAACTTTTAGGCGCAACGGGTGTTACTATGTGTCCGATTAATTTGGTCGGCTTTCCTTGATGTTACAGCAAATGAATTTCCTAGCTCGTTCGAATCGATAGTGCGTAAGATCCTGCGGCTACTGTACCACGTGGTGGCACACATTTACCACTGCCACTTCAGAGAGGTAGCACTATTGGGGTTGCACGCTCACCTCAATTGTGTGTTCGCCCACCTCACGCTCCTTAATCAACGCTTCAACCTTATCGATCCCAAGGAAACGGAGATCTTAGGGGACTTAGAGGCTGCCCTCTTGGGTAAGCTTTACCTGTCGATGATCAATATTACACTTACGTAACGCCCACCGTGGCCGCGGGGACGACGTTGTTACCGTAACCGGGGGGACTGCAACGGTTTTTAAGTGGAAACTTTATATGTATACAGGGTGTAACAACAATCTTGTCCGACCCGGAAATGGGATACTCGGGGGGTGAATTGGAACAAGTTTTTCATCTGGCAAACTCGCGCTCTGATTGGTCGGGGTTTTTCGTTAATATCTCTGTAACGAAGCCTCAGATTAGATTGTTGCTAAGGAAAAACTTGTCCCAATTCACCCCCCGAGTACCCCATTTCCGGGTCGGACAACATTTTTGTTAGACCCTGTATACAGCGACGCGACTGATACCGACAACCCGTTAAAATCACGCGCGGTTACATAAATGGACGACGGCGATGACGCACGGCCGAGATAATGGCCGAGGAACACAACTATACGTTGACTTTTTCGTTTAACCTTTTGAACGTCAAAGGACACATGTCTTGTATATTTCTTCTCGATTTTCGGGGTAATAAGAGTAACGATGGAATTATTGTTTTTTCGTGTTTTTTTGTTTAGACGTTGATTGCAAAGATATCGTTCGTAGAAGACGTTTAAATGGGTTTGTAAACAGAACGAGAGACGAATAAGACGTGGGTAGTGTTTAATTGTGAGATTCAAAGATGGCCACGGCGATCCATTTATTTCGAGTTACACTTCAGCTTTCGAAACAATCGTATATTTAATTATATCACCGTCGGTTACTAACGGTGATTTTGTCGTTGCAGGCGACTCGACATCGTCATCTGCGCCTTCGCAAACATTGCCCATCCAGGAGACTCCGACCACAGCTACCTAGATCGCGATGCACAGAAAAGAGCCAGAGGTTGCAGTTCCTGAGACTAGGTGACGATAGGCGTTTGTTTTCCTCCTTTTTTCTTTTCTCTCTATTCTTCTTTCTTTGTTTTTCTTCTTTTTTTTTTTTTCAAAAAGAGAAAGAAAAAAAGCATAGAATAAATTGCGAGCAACAGAGTTTAATGATGATAAAAAAAACAACTACACGCAGGTGGAGCGAAACGCGCAGTTCTGTAAAAACCAGTAGTACCTGTACATAGCGAAGTGTGAACAACTACAATGATGTAATTAGGTTCCTCCGTTTGTTGTTTGTGAGATTGTACATAATTTATTAAACAGTAAGATATACGAAAGAGACGAAGGATGATTATTGATTATTATTGACAAAGTTAGTTGCTATAAGAAATAATTTGTTCTGTAAAAAAAAAAAAACAAAAAAAAAACAACCATAATGAAACGAGACAAAGCGAATGGAAACGATAATAATATTGTAAAGTTAAAGTAATACCAAATATATACCTGGTGTTAAGGCTTGTGTTATATTCGTTCCGACAACCGCATCGAGGGTACCATTACCTGATTTAATTCTTTCTAGACCTAGAACAGGCCCCTGTCCAACATGTGGCCCGCTGGTTAAAATCGAGGGGAATGACTCCCCTCCATATCCACAAGAAGCCGGACGAGACAGAGGCATGAAAGCGTGTGCGCATGCTCGTAACTGTCCCCACTTCCGACGTTCCCAAAATCCTTACCTGCACGTACCTTTTGCCTCCCGATCGCAACGCAGTGCAAGCGACTAGTGGGGAATGGACCGTGGGACTGAATGATGGTGGTGACCGCGGGCCACATGTTGGACAGGCCTGACCCAAAATATCATTGTTTGAAGCGTTCAGCGTTATTTATCACCGGCCATCGACGAAACAGGACACACGAAGCCGTCGCTGGCAGGGAGAATACAACAAGGTATATCAAATTAATAATCATTACCACGAACATATAGCATGTATTTATATAAATTATAATTTACGTTATTTCTTTGTTTTATCCTACAAGTGTTCCCAGCGAGAGATTTTAGATTCCTCTTGCCTCAGTCCATCCATTTGCTTATCAAAATTCAGCTGAAATCAGCAGAACGAAGAGTCCATCACAGACCTAGCTTGCGGAGTTTTTTTCTACTTTGCTGTAAGGTATAAATAGACAATCAGAGTAGATAAACAAATTAAAACAACGTTCTTTTAATAGACGAAAATGAAATGTGTTACGGTAAATCTTGTTCTTGTCACACAAGAATGTTCATCTGTCAAGTGCAAGCAACTGGAGAGCCAGTACTCTGTTTCACTTCTACGACTCTGATCGCTGCACACAAATTTGCGATCTCCCTTAAAAATAAGCCAATCGCCTCGGCGATTGGTTCACAGAGGTCCTTAAACGAGGTCGCGATATTGTACAGTAATATTAACAGCGGTTGTATGATGGCGTTGAACACGATCGACAGACAGGGTTTTACGAAATAGTCCGCAAACATTTGCAGAACGCCCACCGTGAGCGGTCTGATGATGCTGTAAAGTACAAAGCGAATGAACTGGAGAATGAACGCCGTGACGAAGGCGGTGCCGATGTGAATAGTCCCGAATATTTCAGCCCAGAACCGTGTCGCCGCCTGATCAGTCTTCTCCGCGCATTTCTCTGTCGCTAAAATCGGTGGCATATCCGTTGTCCTGTAATAACTATGACAAAGAAACAATCAGAAAATTATAAAATGATTTACATACATAGAAACCGCTTGTTTGAGGCTTCTGTATTTAGAAGAGCCACAGTTAAAAACATATTTGTTTTATAATAAAAGCAGGGTAACGCGTTTAAATTTTTAAATTTAATTGTTAACTATTTTTGTTAACATGCAATGGGTATTGTGTTCAAGTTGCAATGACAAAGAATTGTACTCAAACATGTGGTTGTACCTACGCAGAGTTTCCATGATCAAAATAATAGATTTCGATCTTCTCCACTCTTTCTACTTTCTCAATTTTTTGCTTTTCTTCGATTTTTGCTGGTTTGGTTGTTTTAGGAACGTCACTTTTCCTTTTGTTCGGTATACCTTCCGATATTTCACAACACATATAGGGCTAAATAAAAATTGCACAGTTACAGATTGTTAATTGTCTACAAACTTTTTGAATAAAAAAAAGGAATGTATTAGCTTCTGCATAATACCTCAGCATAATGAGAACACGTTGCTTCTTGAAATCTAACTTTGTATGTTTTATCATTCCTATCTACATATTTTTTCTGTGGGAATTTCCATTTGAAGGGACACCAAAGAGGCTTCGAGCTAGTATCTGAAACAGAATTAGAAAGAATCTGGTGAACATTGAACAGAAACCATTCTTACAATGGAATTTGTAAGGCTTGAATAATTACCTGTTTTGTATTTCAATGGTAAAGTATAAGCCCTACAAGAAAATAGATATTGATAGATTAATACAGAATTATGAAAAATTCAAATGATTGCATTACATGTTACTAGCATGGCATGAACATGGTATAGTGGATTGTATTTTTTTCGACTGTTGGTCACTCGGTGGTTCTTTTTTATGGGTTTGTTCTACTGCATTTATTCTTCCGTACTGCTCTGGTGGAACTCCGTGGTTTCCAGTTGAATATAACTCGTAACATTTACACTCTTTAATTCAACAAGCATATTTAATTTGCATTTGCTATTAAATTCTGGTCTACAAACAATTATGTTCCCGGAGACTATGTTACCCTCTCTCTTTATAGGTTCGGAATGAGATTCTTTGGCACTAGAGTCGATTGCACAGCTATCCGACAGCAAGGACGATAAGTTGGAAGCTTCTGTTGCATCAGCACAAGGATAATCATCCGCGGAGGGCATGGTAAACACATTTCTTGAAAACAAACTGAACAGAACTAAAATTAAAATAACACGAATAACAACAGAACTGAACTGTCAAGTTAACAGCAACATGAATGACTCCATTCACATGTTTGCATTCATATGTTGCACTCAAAGACTCAAAGTAGTACTAATCGTGTAACGACTGCACGGAGTTAAGAACTTCTTACAAAAGAGGTTTATTAAAATATAATTAACGATGGTATTTAAAGTGATACGACACAACAATTAATAAAAAGTAACAATTTCGGTATTTTTTTTTTCTTTTTTTATTTATAGTTTATAACACATAGTTGTTTTGTTTTAATTCCGCAATTATTTACCAGAATCTTTTTAGACCTCCAATACTTCGTTCTCATAAATCTTGTCAAATCGTGAAACGTAGTTCGAAGTCAAAAGCAATTAACATTTTACATCGACTCGATCAGAAGTAGAATTAGTTTAAGCCTAATACAACTGGATACAGGCAACGGCTACAGACTGATCTACGTATCGTTTGCAAATAGATTTTTTTACGATACTCGAATGCGTAACAAGTCACAAAATATTGTTTTTACAATTACATTTACTTTTTCGTTTCAGCGTAAAATCTTTAGCCGTGATCTAAAATACTGGAGCTTGTGTGTTTGTTTTTAGTTTAGCGTGTCCTTTGCAAATAAATGAAATATTTAGAGATGTGAATTATAAAAATTTGTTCTGTGTTGTATATTTGTCCATTTGTTACATGTAAGTTTTCGCAGTATGTTAAAATGTATCCTTTAATCTCTGATTTTCATATTCGTTGATATTGCATACCATCACGGAATAACTTCTTCGGTTTCTCATTCTCTTACCGGATAAGAATAAACTATCTACTGTAAACTGTCGGGTGTATCCCGTCGCTCGTAAACAAAATCGAAATATCAAATTACCTTTAATATTGATCGGACTAGAACGAACATATGCATAAACACATTAAAACCATACTTAAACAAACTCATTCATTCGACGAGTGATCATGTTAGTCCGGTACAAATCAATTACCCTTAATTTATGCTTGTATTTATAATATTTATACACGTGTTCCTTGCAATAATTCTGAGAAATGGAGTATTCGTTTTTTTTCTTTTTTTAATATCATCGATTCGCTATCCCCTTAAACCCTAAGTGTACGCCTCAACGTTTTGTACAAACGCCTCTTTTGTAACATTCTATAATGTACAACTGGTGAAAAACTAAGAACTCATTCATAGTTAAATAACCATCGGTAAACAAACGATCAGATGTTAATTGTCTTCTTTACACAAGTGCATTACAAAATCCTGAGGCTTATTCAAACCAATTAGAATGAATGTGTACCTGACTATTTACACCATTACATAATGAAACTGAGAATTATCTGTACATAAAATGTAATCATTCTCGCGTGTTCAAACTAGATTGATACCAATAAAATTATATAATACAATCGATAAAATAATACAATCACTATCTTATAATTGTTATCACGAAGATATTCTCAAGCCAGATCAAACGAACAAGTTGGTTGCCGTTTGTATGTTTGTTTTCTGGAAACTATTGAGAATTCAGGTATCATATATATATGTATGTATATAAAAACTTAAAATACACCTGACGTTTTTGATCGATTCGCATAATGCATCTTAGGGAGATTTGTGGTTAAGGTAACAATAAGATGTTTAGGCACCTATTCGAAATGCGACGTTAAAAATATACGCACTCGGTTGATGTAAATTTTTTAGTAATAATAATTAGTACTAAAATCTCACGCAACCATCGACAGAAAATTCCCTCTAAGAGGAATATTTTGTTTAATTCTGCATAAAATCATTTCTTTAGTACCACGTGAACCAATTCTGTTAAGGATGCAATCAATTATTCGATTCTACATTTTCCTGCGACGATTGTGCGCACACCACAACTTTCACAGCTATTATATTTAATAACGCTAGAGACTGGAATTGACGTTTCAATGATTTTCGGTAGTTTAAATCAGAAAGGAACATACATCTTTAACAACGTGGTAACACCTAAGATAATAAAAGAACAAACTTGTAATTACAAATGGGAGTACACTTTTGGAATGTAGAAGAACATTCAACTCGATTCAATTATTCCCCTATTGTGTACACTTATCGTCGCTCGCATAATATCCGCCGTACAAAAGTTTTCTTCTTCTCGGTTTCAGACCTCTCATTTGTTTCCACATTTTTTCTTGTTAATTACTACATACAATTAATGAGATAGATTCTCGTAGATTTTATAATATTATTTAAACGCGACATCCATTGAAACAGACATTGTGAACAATGTATGCATACTATTTCGTAAATATTTTATATTGCTATCGTTAGGATGTCCTTTTCGTTTGTGTAATGCAATAATGAATTAGATATAACAGCCAACGTTAATCAAATCTTACAAGATTAGAGTGTAAAGTTATGTACGCAGAGGTGGATGTCTTTTGAAGAATACAAGCATGGCACTTAAGTCAGGCAAACTTACTCGAAAGTACAAAAAAAAAACACACAGATTATAGAGCCAACAGTAATATGCAATAGAAATTCTCTATCGTAATCTTATTACACTGCGTTTGATTTTATCTTTTAATTAGAATCCTTAAACGTAGTCTTCCTAAACATACATACTTATATATGCCATACTTCGTATCAGCAATTTCTTCAACAATTTTCTTTACATGGTTCGTTCTTTTTCTTTATTTGTTCTGGACTCTACGTATTTCGTACAGATTTTTAATAAACGCTTTAGCAAAAAGTTATGACGTTATTGCTGTTGATTTCTTTTTGTTTTTCTGTGGATATATTTTTACAGCGCTTAAAAGCTACAAAGTATAAACGACTGTAATAAATAATATCGATAAAAATACGTTATACAATGATTGCGTAGAACTGACTGTCATGGTTTTTTCTTCTTACAAAAGTAGGTACTGTTGTTCGATACGATTAAAATTGTACCTTTCGCGTATAAATTATTTATAAATCGAGCCGGTTTGCCCTCTCGCTCTTTCTCAGGATACACAGTGTTAGAGTAACTAACAAAACGTTTGAAAACAATTGTAAACGTATTCATGTTTAATGATTACGTTACAATTACGTTAATAATACAAATATTTACAATGCAATATGATGTAAACTATTATTGATTCCATTAAAATTGAGTAGATCATACCGATGAATACAAATAGCATAAAAAGAACTTACTCCGTAATATTTTCTAAAAGTAGTCCAAGTACTTGTGCAAAGTGCTCTACTATATGATGTTTGGAAAACAGAAAATACATAAAACGATGGTGACTGTGGTAGAAGGATATGCATACTTACGTTGTAGAACAGTCTTTTGCAATAGATGAATTTAAAAATTCATGATTCATTGACTGTGTACGATATTACTTAGAATACGCAATTGAAATCTGTATATGCAAAAAACCACTACTTTCCGGAACAAAGTCACTTGAAATTTTCGCAGTAACTCACTTGGTAGCCCAGAAGTGTTTCAGGCAAAAATGATATGACACACGTTTTGCTTCTGACGGCTGGTTGAACGCGTCACCCATGACAGTTCTTTGATCGTTTTACTCTATATATACTGGAAGTTGTCTTTCGTAGCGAGCAGCGGCAACTTTTCAATGCTCTGTTTGTGATCGAAACTGTGCAACCAGTCTGAACTGGGCTTTGCTTTCACTCCACAGAAGCTTACGTTGCAAAAATCAGCTGCGTTTTGAAGGGCACCGCGATGGAAGGGATTTCCCTGCTTGAAGTGCGTGTAGCGTCCAGCGTTCATACGTTCATTTGTCGTCATTCCAAGAACCATGATCTGATTTAAAATAAATATAATATATATATAGCTTTTTTTTTAACGCGGTAACAACGCACACAGAGCTATGATGGAAGATAGCACTGCAGGCATCTCTAAATCATATATTCTTCTTTTGTTCCACCACCCTTTTTCAAATCTCTGCAAGGCATCTGAACATACTATTAGATGCTAATAGATAGTAATAACAAATATAGCTAAATTCCCTATCTCACTTTACTTAGCAGAATTATGTCTATACATGCCATGTATGTATCATGTAACTGAATACGTAATTAATGTAATAGTTAGTCAGGCTATTCAAAGCATGGCTTAAGAATGTAACATTTAGAGGTTAACTTCAAGTGTTAATATCTTGTAAAGTATTAGCTGTTTGCGTCCAAAAGGAGTATGGACGCGTTCATCTCGATAAGTACAAAGTTGAAAAAGGTCGTTAAAAAGCGGGAGCAACATACGGGGGTGGTCCCCTTATTAGAGATGCTTACAGTACTGTTCCCTAGGATAACAATATATTCCTTGGTCTGTTTGCATTGGACTTCAATCAAAGAAACTTATTATACCTGATAACACTGACACGCGAGCAGTGTGCCAACCCAGAAGAAATGCAAAGACGTGTTCGCTGCCACCCACATCACCCAAGCGTCGCAAGTAGCTGCCGCGACAAGATAGTTGTCCGCGCTATGACCGTTCGTCAAGTTTGTCCAACATTCAAATTGCCAATACTGTACACCAGCGGATAAAACAACAATACAGAGGCCTAACAATGACGCTAAAAATCCCAGAAAATATTTGTGATTGTGCGCACCTGAAAGCAGTGTTCAGAAAAGGAAGAGTTATTAAAAAATATTTCACGATATGATTATACTGTTTGAAGTGATTCAGACGATTAGATTGGCTAGAATTCAAAGACGTTATTCAAGCCATAATGCGTAACTGTGTATGTTACGGGGCATTACGAAACTATCTTTTAACGATAACTTATTTTCCCATTGGCTTACCAATGCAATTATTGACCCACGGACAATGATGATCGAAACGTGCTACGCATCGATCGCACGTTGAACAATGCTTGGATCTCATGGGCCTTCTGACCAAGCAACTGCTGCAAAATGACCGTGGTTCGAAACCACCCGATTCCGCTAACTCTATAATTGTCTAAAGGAATGGAACGCAAAACTGTATTCTTTTCTGTACTATGGATTCACGAAGATTAGTCGTTTAACGTTCAAATGTTTACATTTAACTTATCCTCGTGCGTCGCTGTAATTACACCCGGATCACCCCTCCAAGACTGTAAAAAACATATCCATAACGGCACTGATCCGCCTACTAGTAGTAACCACAAGTACCATGCAGCGTGTACGCCTAACCAGAATACCCATGTAACGTATATCCACATCTGCAACAAACCGTAGTGTTTATAAATAATACGTCATTTCTATAAACCTTGAAACAATAAACATTCACCATATAGATAGCGCTAAAAGTATTTCTATTTTTTTTTTCGATATTATCAATTCAAACGTCTTGAGTTTCCGAGTGTGCGTTATCTAAGACGTGCGTCTGGTGACAAGGTATTTTGTTATCTAAGATACATGAAAGTTGATGCCTGATACAATTCAATAACTTCTACCAATAAAATTCGTAACATTATTTCATTCTAGTATTCCATATGAAATTAATTAAACACTAGTAAACAATAAAATTTGAATTCTATATTACTTCGAATCACGTACAAAGACTCACCTTTGTAGCCAAGTAAATTGACATTGGTACAATATGGAACAATCGTTCGTCAAAGACAAAATGATTAGCTAAATACAATGCTATATAAAGACTGACAAAGACACCTAATTTTATTAGATAATCCAATCCACTTTGTAGAATCATTCCGATTACATAGAAAACTATAAACGGCGTGCTGACCATACAGTACCAGCGCATTCTCTGAAAGAAGAAACATCAACGGTTGGAAAACATAGAATCAATGCAATTATGTTTACCGTACAATGAATGAATAGACTGTACAAAAAAAAGAGACATACCTTATCTCTACACCATGTTCTTGCTCTGCCCTGTTTTTCACGAATTTCCTGGCTTATTTTGTGCCCTAACCAGGCAGCTCCAATATGACGGCCGAGCAACGTCATTGGTGTCTCGACTCGCAAATTCGGCACATCCAAGGACGCACCATTGTGAACTAACGTAGATATTGCTGTGCTGTTCTCAGCTATGATAGCCCAATGCAAAGCCGTGTTTCCATGCAAATTATCTGCGAGTGAATGAGACGCTCCTAAAGTTAACAACAAGCGCGTTGGATCTAAACTGTAAAAGGGAAAACTTCAAAGTAACCAATACAGTATGGATTCTAAAGAAGGACGACAGTTAAAAGTATACGATCCTATCGCTTTGTCGCATGTACCTATTCACTTTGTAGGCGCTCCACATTAGGGGTGTCATCGCGCTCCTGTCTGGCATATTAGGATTCACTCCCTTCGCGACTAGATAAGCAACAATCGATGTGTGACCGAATTGCGCTGCTAAATGAATACAAGAGAACCCTTCTGAATCTCTAAGAGTAGGATCTGCACCTGCTCTCATTAATATCACAACTGTAGACAAATGACCCTGCCTGGAAGTGAAAAATGTTTATTGTAAATTGCAAACATTTATGTTCATAAACTCGTAAGATACAATGAAATTTAAAATTCACCTTGTGGCCCAATGCAATGGCGTGGAAGCAAGCTCACCACCGATGGCATCAACAACTGCTCCTTTCGCAATAAGGTATTTAACAATATCTTTTCGATTGTTTATGGCAGCCCAATGTAACAACGTTACAGTCTCTGAATCTGGCTGATTTACATCGGCACCACCTTCCACCAGCTCAGTTACCCGATCTAGTGCTCCATACTACGAAAAAGATTTTCATTAATAAAATTAAGAAGCAGTTTATTAGATGTATACCATAAATATTTTCTTACCTGTGTCGCTCTAACAATGTCAAAGGAGCTGCAATCCTGTGCTGGGGGTCTGACAAGTTCTTGATGATGATTACTAGGATCATCAGGCTCGCCAGTGCCTTCACCTTGGCAAGCCACTTGCATCTTTAATGCGTACATGTTGAATTTGTTGATTTAATTTCAGAATAACGTCATAGATTGAATGAAGAATTCTATATGCAGATGAATTCTTTGAAACTGCTTAATATTGTTGAGATATTACTGAAAGAATAATAAAAATAGTCATGTTACCAAAATGTATAAAGAATTGTTAGTTTTTCTGTATGTTCTATGAGAAAATTATTTAAATATAATTATATCATGAAACAAACGAAAAACTTTAACTTTCGAACTATGTCTACATTAGATTTAGAATGTAACTTGCATTCACTTTGAGCGTTTACGACTTAAAATGACTGTTTGAAAAATATTATTTCAAAGAATAATACCGCTCTCGAGTTATAACAGTGGCATAGGAGATTCGTAGCGTGTAGTCGTCGACATTATTCCCCGCAATCGTGTTCCCGTCCGTCGATTAATATCGCTCAATTTAACCGGCAATAATCAATCAGTCGTTTGTATTCAGTAAGTATAACTGGGTTGTAAATACGATGTATACTACCGAGAGCACACTGAGCATACTGACAATCGATTTGATATTCGCGTCAGGGAGTAATGATAAACGTACCGATGAACGTTACTCTCCGATTCTCGAAAATTCACAATCGGTGGTGCATTTTACAAAGATCACTGATTCGTGGATCCTATAGTATACGATCACGCGATAGAGGGTACAACGTACAACCCTTTCTTTAACCACAATTAAAAAACGACATGGCCTCGAAGCGTTAGAATGCCAATAAATGATTCTGCGATAATATTTTCAGTTATTCTACACTTCAGAAAATTATCACCTGATCGTAAATACATTAAAATCAGTTGACAACGTGTATCATATCTTACCTGGAAAGAAATGACAGCGTTGATAATGCCCATACATAATACGACAGCGGCGTGGTGCTCCCCTCGAATTGGTCGTAAGGGGTTAGATTTAAAGGACAAACAGTCGACGGGGGTGGGGTACATAGTATAGAATCCGGACAAGGGTTGACGTTTTCCTCAGCTATGGAAATATAACAGCCCTCCTGCGAGTATTCGCTTTTAGTCGGTGCAGGGGTAACAGCGTTCTCTTCTTATTTTGAAATTAACGTGTTACTCTTGAATTAAACAGAATTATTGAACACGCACTGCGTACCACACTTACGCACGAAATGCTGTTCGCATCAACGTGCACATTATGCTTTCTCGATTTTAGCGAACAATTTCTTATTGACCAAACGGCTTCGTAAGCCGCCCGATCGGTATCCGATACTAAATACTCATCGAACGAACGTGATATAGCGACTGTGTCGACACGCTTTTAAATCTGTCAATAGAGGGCTATGAAACGACGTCATATTCTCGCAAGTTCTTCTTTGTACGCTAGAGAATTTTTACTGGACGCATTTAATCATTCACAGTGTTTCTGCACTAGCAGCACAAATTGGTAAACAGAATTCTGTGGTGTCATCTGTAGCAAATTCGTCAAGCTACTAGCCAATTAGTACCATGTTCTTTTCATCCGATAGCGCTGTCAGGCAATTCTTCTTTCATTTTGGATCTCAAGAAATTGGTATTGAAATCTTTTTCGCGCCTTTATTGTCCGATATATGCCGATATACTTGTTGTATTTGTAATCGAATTGTTGTCGTTTCTTGTGTTTGACAGTGATAATTTGATAAGGCAGAATGAACAAGAAACCATTAACAGCCCCTCCTGCTGCGAAAAAAGCAAAATACCGGTAAGCTTTTGTAGCATTTTTTCATAACTATGCTTTAACCTTATTTTATGAAAGTTTGAATTTGATTCTTTCATTAATTAAGAACGAAATACTTCAGCTAGAGATGTGTTTACTAACATTTAATAATTATATGAACAAATCAAATTGCATTCTTATACTTGCACCTTTAATATCATAAGATAAAACACTGTTGGTTGAAGTGTCCTGATCTCTTTCAATCTTTAATTTTTTTTAACAACGGTGTCTTTATCAGTAAATTAATGTATTTGCGATTTATAATTTGAACCAATAGGGATGACGATGAAGATGAAGATTATCCCGGTTCATTTGAAACCGAATTGGCTAATATGGATGAGATGGATGATCAGTTTGGAGATGTGTCACACATCATTGAAGAGGTATAACTTTATTAAACTTGTATCACTTTATTAAAATGATGATTTTATGAATTGCCTCAATAATTCAATTAATAGACATTACATATATACATCTTTAAGTAAAACAATCTATTACTGACTAGTATTTTATTATTTTAGCCAGCTGCGGTACAATTAAATAATAAACCAAAAGCAGTGAGTTAATGTCAATGACAGAACATAATTGTTCCAATGTATGTTTAAATAACACATTGCAATCATTGATCATCAACTTTGCAATAGTTTTCACAATGTTCACCCATTAATTTTATCAAATATGCATTTTTTTTTTAGATAGATTGTCATTTAATGGCTTATGTATGATCATATAGCTGGCTTTTTCATGTATTATATATTTGCTATATTACATTCATACTGCAATACATTATGTTTGTAACTGCACTCAATCTTATTTTCAAAATGGTTTTAAAAAATCACCTTTTAACTCCATGAAAACATATTCCTATTTACTTGTAAGAAAACTAATCTTGTATAAATATCTTAATTAGTTACATTACTTTTAACAGGGTCCTGAACAAGAAAATACATCCGCAAAATGGAGTAGACCTCCACCACCAGAGTTAAATCCACAGAAGGATTCCTTAATTTTCCAACAGATAGAAATTGATCATTATTCGGGTAAGCAAATTTCATCAGATGTGCATAACTTGCATATAGACACTAATTAACACCAATGCAAAATTATTCATTTAAGGTGCCCCACTGGTTGGAATGCCGGGCAGCAGAATAGCTCCAGTACAAATAATGAGAATGTATGGTGTTACAGAACAGGGAAACTCTGTTTGTTGCCACGTTCATGGATTTTGTCCATATTTGTATGTTTCTGCACCACACAATTTTACAGAACAGCATTGCAGACCTTTTAAGGTACACAATTGTACATTTATTGCATTCCATAAAGTTTAATAAGATCTTTCTTCTATTTGTAAATTAGTTCATAAAGTCTAGTACAGTAATATGTATATGTAAATCACTCATTTCGCTCTCATCTACTCTGTAGAATGCATTAGACAAAGCCATACTGAAAGATATGAGATCGAATCCAGAGAATATTCAAGAAGCTATCCTAGCTGTTGAACGATTGTACAAACAAAACATGTATGGCTATACAGGTAACGAGAAATCGCTGTTTTTAAAAATCACAGTGGCTGTGCCAAAATTAATAGCGGCTTGTAAAAGGTTACTCGAAAAGGAAGTGATTTATCCCGAATTTAATCACACGTATACTGCCTTTGAAAGCAACATTGATTTTGATATTAGGTGTGTAAAATTAGTTACACGTGTAATTCTGCTTACATTCACAAAGTCATTCCCTTTTTAATGTACTCTTTTGTTTAAGGTTTATGGTGGATACATCTGTAGTAGGATGTTCTTGGATCGAGTTACCACCGAAAAGTTGGAAATTGCGTGGCCATCAAGGTCACAGTTTGCCACAAACAACAAGATGCCAGTTGGAAGTTGATGTTGCATGGGATGCTTTTATTGCCCATACACCGGAAGGGGAATGGTCTAAAATTGCTCCGTTCAGAATACTTAGTTTCGACATTGAATGCGCTGGACGTAAAGGTAATATTATCGTTACCCTCTCCATTTCCTTTCAGATATATTTCCTTTCGTGTTACGTGCAAAATTTCATTCTCAGGTATCTTTCCTGAACCAAATCATGATCCTGTTATACAAATCGCTAACATGGTGATAAGACAAGGAGAACCAGAACCTTTTCTACGAAACATTTTCACGCTTGATACTTGTGCACCTATTGTTGGTAGTCAAGTGTTAAGTTTCGAAAAAGAGAGCAAAATGTTAGAGGTACGAATGATGTTTATTATAATGTTAGATACATTAATACAAATCAATAATATTTTATTTTCTCTAGAAATGGGCTGACTTCGTGAGACAGTTAGATCCTGATATTTTCACCGGATACAACATAAACAATTTCGATTTTCCGTATCTGATTAATCGTGCTCAGCATCTGAATGTGAAGAACTTTAATTTCCTCGGTCGAATAAAGAACATAAAGTCAGTAATTAAGGTTCATGTACTTCAGAGCAAGCAGATGGGTAAACGTGAAAATAAATCTGTTAATTTTGAAGGAAGAGTTCCTTTTGATTTATTATTGGTAAAAGAAATGGCATTTGTTTATTCAAAACACTGGTGCATAATAATACAGTAAAATTTTATTTATATACAGGTGCTGGTCAGAGATTATAAATTACGATCTTACACGTTGAACGCTGTTTCTTATCACTTTCTACAAGAACAGAAGGAAGATGTTCATCATAGTATTATCACAGATCTGCAGAACGGTGACGCACAGACTCGTCGGAGACTTGCCGTTTATTGTCTGAAAGATGCATACTTACCACTGAGATTACTAGAAAAATTAATGTGTATTATCATTTACATGGAAATGGCAAGAGTTACGGGTGTTTCTATCTATAGTTTATTAACCAGAGGGCAGCAGATAAAAATAGTCTCTCAACTACTGAGAAAGGTCTGTAACAATAAGTAATTTTCTTTGTAATCGACAATGGAAATGTTTACGTCGTTATTACGGTCATATGATTTCAGACCAAAGAAAAAGATTATTTGATACCAGTTCATCATGGGCAAGGTAGCGACGAACAGTATGAAGGTGCCACCGTCATCGAACCGAAGCGTGGCTACTACAACGACCCCATAGCTACTTTGGATTTCAGTTCCCTGTATCCTAGTATAATCATGGCGCACAATTTGTGTTACACAACTTTGTTAAGTCATGAGAAGCAAGTGAAATACAAAGTCGATGATGACGACATAACTAAAACTCCCGCTAACTCTACGTTCATCAAAGCAAATGTCCGAAAGGGAATACTTCCTGAAATTTTGGAGAATCTTTTGACAGCCAGAAAGAAAGCAAAGGCTGAACTGAAAAATGAGACTGATCAATTGAAACAGAAAGTGCTGGATGGTAGGCAGTATGCTTTGAAAGTATCAGCCAATTCTGTTTATGGTTTCACAGGTGCACAGATGGGAAAGTTACCGTGTTTGGAAATATCGGCTGTAAGTTTCTATAATAATACAGAGTGTAACAAAAATGAGTAGTCCCCGGTATAAATTATCTTCGGTATCGAAATTACTTTATTAATGAATATTTAAAAAAATGTTACAGAGTGTCACTGCCTATGGACGTGTCATGATAGAGCGAACAAAGCAGGAGGTAGAACAACAATATTGTGTTTCAAATGGGTACAAAAACGACGCTGTGGTTATATATGGAGATACTGATTCTGTAATGGTTAAGTTCGGTGTAAAAACAATCGAGGAGGCTATGGAGCTTGGAAGAGAGGCGGCAGAGTATGTAACGTCCAAGTTCCTGAAGCCGATAAAGTTAGAATTTGAGAAAGTCTATTTTCCGTACTTATTGATTAACAAAAAACGATACGCTGGACTGTATTTCACACGGCCCGATAAATACGATAAAATGGACTGCAAGGGTCTTGAAACGGTAAGGCGGGATAACTGTCCTTTAGTAGCAAACATGATGAACACCTGTTTGCAAAAATTACTCATCGATAGGTAATTGAATATCTATATAGAATCTTTCATATTACGTGGGCATAATATAAGAAATGAATAAGGCATCTGAAATTCATATGAAAATTATTTTTTAATAGGAACCCTCAAGATGCGGTAAATTATGCAAAACAAATTATAAGTGATCTCCTATGTAATCGTATCGATATATCTCAGTTAGTTGTCACAAAGGAATTAACTAAAACCGATTACGCGGCCAAACAGGCGCACGTTGAATTGGCCGCGAAAATGAAAAAGAGAGATGCAGGAACCGCGCCGAAACTTGGCGACAGAGTTCCATATGTATTCACGACCGCTGGTAAAGGAACTCCAGCTTATCAGAAAGCAGAGGATCCGATCTATGTCCTAGAAAATAATATTCCTATAGACACTAATTATTATTTACAAAACCAATTGTCCAAACCTCTTGTACGTATTTTTGAACCAATTCTTGGCGACAAGGCGGAGTCGCTTCTCCTGAGAGGAGATCATACGCGAACTAAGTCAGTGGCCACATCTAGAGTTGGTGCGATGGCTGCTTTTACGCGCAAGAAGGATGTGTGCTTGGGTTGTAAAGCTGTTTTAACGCCAGAAAGGGAGAAAATGGCGTTATGTAAATATTGTGAGCCTAAAGAAGCAGAATTCTTTCAGACGGAATTATATCTTGGTAGAAAGTTAGAAGAAAAATTCTGTAGATTATGGACTGAATGTCAAAGATGTCAGGGGAGTCTTCATCAAGAAGTATTGTGCACAAGGTTCGTTGAACGACGGGATTATATTAAACAAATACAAATCACGTACACCGAATACATTTTCCATTAATTCGTCTACTTTTTTCAGTCGTGACTGTCCGATATTTTATATGAGAAAGAAAGTACAAATGGAATTAGATACCCAAATGAAACGCGTCGAGAGATTTGGAATACCAGAGTGGTAAAATCGAGAGTACCAGGAGACGTATTGTATAGATATATTTATAGGTGTTATGTTCGTGTATATCGTCATTATTTAAAATACATATTTTATACATTCGTATTTGCCTTTGAAAAATATAGCCTGCAATTCTCTACTTTATTACATCTTAATGTGATAAACACACATGAATTGGTGACAATAAATGTCGTAAGAAGCAATGTTTCCACAAAATCTTTAATCAGTTTGCAAGTTTATGTACAAATTACGAGTAGAAAATTGATGCACATACACAGGAATGTTTTCTATTCTAAATATACTTTTTTAACTAATTAAAATGACTGGTCAAAATACAATTCATGTTTGGAACATTTATTATGAAATAGTACCTGTATTTACTTTAAATACATAAATTATCAAACCTTTGATACACTATTCAATAATTGCAACTGAATAGTGTACTTAAATATTATTTATTATTATTTGGTATGTAAACTGAAGTGTTTAAATAATTGTGGCTTGAACAAAAATTAACAACATATTCAAATGAATGCGACTTAAAGTAGTAATCTCATTTTTGTGAGGCGGTATTTGATTAATTTTTAACTTCAGTATAATGAATTCGTAATTATTATTCAGGATATTGTACTTTCATTGTAAATCATGTTTTCTTATTTTCGTATGGTGTCTTCTTTTATAAAAACGATTTTTTTTACATTTCAGAGTCTTATATTATACAAATGAAATTAAACCAGTTACACATATGTACATAATTATTCACAGACTATGTCAAAATATTGACATATTGAATGATTTCCAATTTCACTGTAATGTCTATGAACGACAGCCGTGACTAACGTAATATTAAAAGTGATATATTTATACCAGCATACACTGTATTTGCTATTGCCAATTATAGTAGCACATTCGCATATAGACTTTTTTATTAAAAATTCTTGAAATTGTTATATTGTATTGCTTTGTACGATAAGAAAACCCTCCTGGTTTCTTTCATATCGTAAAAATGGTAAAAGATGAATAATGGTGGCTATAAAGTGTCACGATATTGACTCAGAAACGATTATTTAAATCGAAAGATATTCTAGTTTTTATTACACATTAAATTAGGTAGAAAGATAAAACTTTTGGTTCGCTTTTATTCTGTGTTTCACATTATGAAAAGTATGATAAATCTTAGAATAGATTCGTAATGGAAATTGTAAGGCTATTTAAAATATAATAAATAAACACAATGAGGCGCCCAGCTCCACGTGGGTCATTCGAAATGACAGTCGTGTGACTAGTCTTCTCTGTAAGGCTTGGATAAAAAAAATCGTTCAGTAATCTTAATCAATTTCTACTTTGCAGCGCATTCGACAACCAGTCCATTGCTTGATCAAGCCCTTCACCTTTCGTCGCGGATGTTTTAAAAATTTGGAACGTTCTGTTTTTGAGTGCATCCAAGCCAAGTGCCTGGTGCACCTCTGCAACACTTAAACAACCTGCCATGTCTTGTTTGTTTGCTAAGACTACCAAGATGGCACCTTGTAGTTCTTCTTCCTATGAAATCATATGAGTATTTTTATATTATATAGATAACTTGAACTTACAATACTATTCCATTAGGTGTACCATTAAGTAATCCGCTATTTTTTAACGAAATCAGTGTTTGTTTCCCTAGAAGTCAAGGATCTATACTGTTTAATTTGTATTCATAATAATTTTTCAATATTTCACGATATTCTTCCTCAGTAAAAGGTGGGAGGAGATAATTTTGATTTAAGATATATCACCTTGTAGGTGAAAAACTTTGTGGATTACATACTGGCACACCTAATGCAATCATAGTATTATAAAACCTGTGTTACATTTCAAGATTAGTAATGTCTTATATTTAGACCGTAATGACCATATATCGTTATTTATTATATTATTGTTAAGTTAAATCATAATTTTATACCAGTATTGAAAAAATACTTACTCTTAACATGTAAATTAGTTCATCTTTTGATATGCCTATCCTATCTTTGTCTGCTGAATCCACAACATAAATTATTGCATCTGTGTTTGAGTAGTAACACCTCCAGTACGGTCTACAAATTTAAATAATAATGTTAGATACTAATACATTTTATTATGTTAATAATATTACAAGTTCTTATTTATAGTTCTTGAAAACAGAAGATAATTTTTGAGAGCCTAAAAAATTATTTCAAGAAATCAAGTTACTTCATCTAAAAATTATGGAATGTTTCAGAAGATTTGTAATATTAGCAACAATATCATTCATTCAGAGAAAGTTTACAGACAACATACCGTATACTAGTTTGACCACCAAGATCCCACACTTGAAACTTCAGATTTTTATATGTAACTTGCTCTACATTAAAACCTATAGTAGGTATGGTCGTAACCACCTCTCCCACCTGCAATCTAATAAATAAAAAGTATAGACTCTCCATTATACACAAACCACACAGTGCCAACAAAACTATCATTAATCTTTTCCAAGACATAAGCAACTAATGAGGCTTAAGAAACAAATTAAAGTGTAGTCTCTATGCTGCAGACTTTCATCATTTATAGCATGTGTGATCATCTAAAACTCAGTATAGTAAAATATTTAGTATCAGTGAAATTCTTATTAGGAGTCTGTTAAAACCCTCAACAAAGTATAAATTAATTTTCGTTTGATTCTAGTTTCTAGCTAATCCATTAGATTTTATACATGAACATCTATAGTCTAGTAATGTCAAATCGAAAGTGTGTACACGCATGTAAACTGTCAAGCGAAACAGTGGCCAACTTGTCAATGTGAACCAAACCTGTACAAGATTGTAGTTTTCCCGGCGCCGTCCAGGCCTAGAATTAAAATTCGCATTTCCCGACTCCCGAGCAAATTGCGAAAATAACTGAGTAATCCTCCTGAAATAGTGAAAGCGTCAGTTTTGTAGAAGAAATATTAGGAAAGTCGTGCTGTCGGCAGCACAGCCGAGTATTTGTATTCGCTTCAGATATTCGATGATTTCGGGAACGAATACTGGTGAGAAAACGTATCGCGTGACTCACCCATATCGATACCGTATTATTTCCAATTCATATAGTATAAATTAATGTTTATTGTCAAATGTAATAATCACACTTGTATCCAAGTAACCGGGGCGCACACCCCCTTTAACTGTCCACGGATACAGTCCCTTTGGATCACTTGCTGACTTGTATCGTTAGCCGAACTCACGTGAAGTTTGTTGCTGTTCCTTCCGCCTTCGATATATCAACTTGACTCACAAATTGCTATATTCAGAAAGAGACTTCGTACACATCGCAGTATAAAATATTGCTGTCCCATTTCGATAATTCAGGAAATTCTGCCGAAGTGAGTGATCTTTCTTATACTGTGATATTTAATGGAATGTAAAGTGTACACATACTTTCCAAATCTTCTAAGATTCATTTCAGCGGTGTTAAATTGTCTGAATATTCTTTCGAAATCAATATTGTGCCTTAAAAATCACTGTAGCAATTTTAAGTTGTTTTAAATTTGCTTCGTAATGCGTAATAATAAATGTGATCGAAAAGTTCAGTGGCTCTATCTACAGCAAAACGATCAAGCTGTTATCGAATTAGTACCACTGCTTTCTTGTGAGATTACACCATTATGTCATTTAGAATAAATACTAGAATTTTTGAACGATTTCTGGTGAAAAGAGAAAAGCTACTCCAGTTATTATTCTTTCTCTCTTATGTCGACTTCATCCCTACCATAAGACCGCGCAGTCTATTATATATGACTATGCATGGGTAACATGTAACATGAGTTCATTCGAGAAAAAACAAGGATCGACTTAAGATCATACAGAAGATTTGCGAAAAACAGAAGTGCGAATTATTTGTGATAGATACATTACACTATTTTACACATCTAAATCATAGTTGAGCCTACTTTTATTGAATTTACACAAATATTATTGTAAATATATCGTAAAATCGTAGATATAAGCGGAGAGGAAATGAGAGTGCTTACGCCCGGAAATTCGTTGTCCCGGAGTATGTGTGCTGCACCAAGCGACCAATTCCGGTATAATAGTAGGAATCTACTCGTTTAGGTTCCACGCTAGCATGTACAAGAACCTATTTGGTTTCACGTTAGCATATACAAGAATCTATTTAGTTCAACGGTAGCACATATCAGAACCACAAATGTACCACATCAATTGTAAGTGGTTTTACGTGACATAAGAAGTTTTTGCGCGTTAAGGGGAAATTATATATAGAACGCTGAAAATAAGCTGATCTTCGTGACTTTGTTGCAAAGAAACCCTAAATAAATGAGTAAACAAATTACCCTAAAACTCGTATTTTTATTTTATAAGCTCTGCAACCATCTAAAGTTCCTACTTTTCGTTCATCAACGATACAACTTTATAAATAATAAGAAAAATTTTCCCTTGCGACTACAACATCATGCTATCCGCGTTCGGCGCAGTGCGCTAATACGGAGGCCAACGAAATATCACTGTAACATTTAAAAAAGTTTTAAAGTTCCATTTATATCATTGTCCTGTGAAAATGTTCATACTTCCAGTAGCATTCATATTCCAATCAAAGAATTTACAGAATAAGGAAAAGGAATCTAAAGTAATTTTCA